GTTGCATAGATGGCACTTGGGCGTTACGTTTCATTACTAAAAAAATATTTTCGCTTAAGTCTAGTATTAAGTTTCCCTTATATTTTGCGTGTATGTTCTTATGTCCACGAATAAATTGTTTTTCTTTCTTTCTCAAGAGCATATAGATTAATTAAAAATCAATACTATGTCGGAAACTATTTGCGAATTTAGCATAGAATACATTAAGTTACATATTAAACATTAACTGAAGAAATACAAAAAAAACTGCAAAACATTTCGAGGTAACTAGTTCGCAAGAAAACCGCTTCCATAAGTAAAATCATTCCCGGTGTGAATTCTGATTAATGAGATCAGGTTGATCTTGGCGAAGCCGAATGAAAAATTGACACCAATGAATAAAACTTACGTTCGAACGCCAGCCGTGATCGAGAACGACTCTAAACATTCCTAGAGATCATTTCAAACTAACATTTATAACCACAAATAGGATAGTTTATTACTGATGATGGTTTAATCTAAATTTCACATGACACAGTTGTCAAAACATAGGTTTTCATTTTATTATTAAATTAATAATTTTAAATTAAGATATAAATATACAAACAAGGTGAATGTGAAGTGAAGTGAAAGGAAGAGAAAAATGTTATACGAAGTTTAAAAAAATAGTGTTAAGTTAGAGGCAGTTGGGCTAAGTTTTATTTCACTTTTTTTCAATTGAAGGAACCTTGTTAATTTTTCCGTCTTCACATTTACCTGTGTTTGTATTCCTGATTCACAAACATACAAAATTAGTCGTGACTTTACTTCCAGTTAACTATTTGTTACCAAGAAAATTTTAAAACAGTCGAATTACTCGAATACAACTACTATTCTTCGAGTAGACTGAACTTCAGTCAGATAAAAATATGTATGATCGTTGATGATCGTTTATAATAAGTGATACAATAACTGAAACTTTGTTGTAACTTCCATTTTCAAGGTAAAGTACTCGTATTTTGAGGTTTTCAATAAAGTATTTCAATAATATCAGGTAAAAAATATCTTTTTACCTTTATTTTACTAAATAATAAAATTTCTCCATGTAATAAAAATCATGATATTGCTTTCATTGTGTAAATTGACATTGTAACATTTATAATATTTCGAGATTATCGACATTATATTAAGAAGAGTAATTACGTAATGTGGTGAAGAATAACAAGTTTGTTAATTGCTTAATTATATTACGGCTGCAACTTGTACCATGACGTCATACCATAAGCTTAACCCGCTTACAAACATTGGACTGAAGATTCTCACCACGATAATCAGACAAACTTATTGAATTATTGTATTGTCATCTGTCCTTGGCAAGTATGCATATATGTATGTAATTTCGTGTGTGTATGATAATTTTCAATTCATTTGATATTTTAAAGGGGGTAAAAAGTGAGTTCAAAGATTCGGTTATATACATACAGATGAAGTTAGTATGTTAATAAAAATAATTTTTTTAAGTACATAGATTGTAGAGATCTGCTTGTTCAGTCCCAAAATCCATCCATCATAGACAACAATCTGACAAATATACGCACTTGTAACAATAACTTTTTAAAAATAAAATTGAGGGTCGTCGATGACCTTTTCATAATTCTTTTTATTCATAATTATCTGTACTAGCATTATACATAGTAGAGCCGGGCATACTTATAAATGGAAGCTTATATCAGTACTTTAAAAGTTTTTGTAGTGTTTATATGCCAACTTTTATTTTAGGGCTTTTCTACTTATGTTTTAGGTTACAAGGGATGAATACAAAAACAGATGGATACAAAACAAGAGCACAGGTTGAGCAGCAAAATTATAATAAAAGACATCAAAAATAAAAATATATTTTTGTGATATAAAAATGATTGTTCCGACCGGGACAACGATTGTCTTTTAAGTGGTTAGTCAATCACAAAATCATTAAGTTGGAAAAACATTTCCTCTCGTGCCGATGCGATTCTTGATGTAAGCTTCAGAACTCGTTAAGGGAATGTTTACTGTGTGTAGGAGATATTTCAAGTTTTTTTTACCTACTTATCGTATTTCTTGCCTCGTTTCACAGAAATAGTAAAAATGAACATCGCCTTTTGTTACTTTAATGCCATCATTTAGGAATATAAGTGTTCAGAAAAAAATTGCCGTCCAAATTGTCGGAGATAAATTGCCAGGTAATAAAACACAGAGCTAATGTTAGTCTAGTGAAAAAAATCGGCTTGTACTTTATTTCCAACTTCGAAGTTATGAAGGATATGATAAGTGATAGAATATTTTGTCTTTCGGCTCAAAAATGATAACAATGTTTAGTAATACTTTTAAATAATAACGAAGAATTTTAAATATTTTATGTTAATAAACTTTGGTACTTATAAGTCCACTTCAAACTTACTCTTCAACGATCGATCGGAATCTTGTCTGATTACAATAAGATGTGTTGTTTTCATGTATGTACATTTTAGCCTAGGGCTAAATATGATTTTAGAATTAGCCGGTTACTTTCCTACTATAATAAAATCAATTGCATCGCTGATTTCTTAAACAGTCAATCGATCTTACTACCATGCTCTTAATTAAATTAATCCTTTGATGACCACTGTTTTGCTATCACGTAGTCCGTAGACGTATTAGTATCATGACGTACGGGTACTAAAACACATTTAATGTAAGTTAAAAATTAATTATGCCATTTAGGCCACAATAAAGTTAGAATAGATCATTAGTTACAATCCAACTAAATGCAAAATTTTACGGGAGTCTACATTTCTACAGTACGAGTAATTGTTGTATATTGCAAACAGTTTGTGTTATACGGCGGTGGTCGTGTAAGCCCCTGGTCCTGTCATTGTTTAATGACCAGTCATAAAAGAATATTACTCGTATGTGTTTTTTTGTTTCATGTTCTATATAGAGGGACAGGGTTAGATAAATTAGTTTAAGTACAACAATATTTTTTGGTTATGACTTCTTTTGCTTTTCGTAAACTAAGGTATTTAATCCCGACCTCTAGTTTGAATAAATAGAGAATTTTAATTAATATACTGAACAAAGCACATTAAATCAAAGGTTTGTTAATGTAAAGATAGAAAATACTGTGCATATGTAAAGATAGAAAATAAACACGACAAATTCAATAAAGAAGTATGTGGTAATGATGTCAATAAGGAATTACAAATTTTGTGCAAACGTGTCTAAACCTAGAGCAATAAAATGTTTTGGAGGTCGAGGTCTAAAAACATTCGGATTTTCATTACAGAGGTTATTTAAGTAATTCACTGGGACGGTAAAACGAAATAGTTACCAACCGACCCATTTTTACCTCTTTTCATTATATTTCTTGGGGAGCTAAATATACTGTTTTAATACAACTTCCCTTTTAAGTAATTTTTCCTAATTAGATAGAATGTTCGTTAGTTAAAGTTCTTGTTTTTGTTTTACCTCGCCTATTTTATAACATTTATATTTGCATAAAAACGATTGGATTCTAATATTGAGGGTTAATGTAACCAAACTCAGGTAAGGGTAAAATGTTTTCGACTACACATATTTATCTAGGTCTATCATTACGTTTTCTACACATCTCCTTTTCTTCCGTGTTGAGAAACTGACTACATATTTGGACGTATTGTATAAAAGATATAAAAGGTGTAGAAGATTAATAGAAAAAAAATGGAATAAAAAGGAGAAATAAAATAATTTAAATTTCGACCATCGATATGACACTGGTCGTTAAGTTTCACATTAACTCAAGTAGTTGCTTGAGTTAATGTGAAACTTAACGACCAGTGTCAGTATGAAAGCAGACACGGGTCTAATCTTGAATTGAGGTTGGTTTTCTTAGTTCTGGGCAAAGTCCCGGGATGGAAAGGATTCGTGACAACAACAAAATTAATGGTTCCTTCGTTGGTGTTACAACACACACTACACACGCCTACGTTCCTAAAAAAATTCACTTCATATTTATGCGAATGAAAAAACCTCAATTGGTGAAAGCTCTTTCAAATGTCTATTACGTAGACTAAACATTTATTTAAAGACTGCCTCTAAATAAGTAACTCGCGGAAATGAAGGTAGTGAATTTAACGAGCACGTGTGTGACATTTCTATGACGCTAAACGTAATTCGTGTCATCTTAAGGTTTACGACCGAAATACAATTTCAATCTGGATGAGGTTAAGGTACACGTAGCGTCTGACGAACAAGCTCAAAGAATGACAGTATAATAAAAATAATGTTCTAGAATATAGGTGTTTCAAAACGATATCGAGACATAAACTAAACAAGCCTTGTGCTATGAGTTGTAGAATATAGTTTTAAAATATTTTAGATACACTTTTTTGTTTATCATACAATACTTATAAACAAAAAATACTACTGGAAATTTTAAATGTTACCAATGTTATTCATTTACTGAAATTCATAGATTATACAAAGATTAGCACTGGGCAAAAATCAAACCTGCGGCTTTAGAATATAAATAAAATAAATAACAACAACTGAATAGCAAATACATCAGTCAGCAATTTTTTTTCCTTAAAATGGCGTCTAAAGAATTCTCTTTACGTATTTACTTTTATATGTTATGTGTTTTTATAAGATCTTACACAAAAATATATCTCAGAGTACTATAATTCTAACTAGAATGTTGCCAAGACTAAAGAAAATATTCAAACTAAAAATTTAATTTAAGGCAATTCATAAAGTATTGAATTCACGGGTTTGATCCGCTTCATTAGCAAAAATAAAAAAGCAATGTTCGGGACAGTGAACAATTTAGTGACATTCGAATGCTTATTGTCAAATACAATTTACATATATAATTTAGGTACATTATTTTGTCACATGGCACGCTGTAATTACTCATTGATTGATTGATCAGATGCCAGAAATATTTATTATAAATTATCTACATTAAAATATTGGTATTCTTTGCTTTCATATCAAAGAGCATGACTGATATTTTCGATTTGAATTATAGTTTCTACTTTTGAACTAACCTTATATGCATCAGGTATGTTAACAGGCTCGCCGCTCTCGGCAACATATCCGACGATGCCGCTGCCCCACGGTATCCGTATCTCTTCCAGCTGTTCCATCTGCTCGGGTGTTGACTTTGAGCAAACGTCGAACAACTTTGACACCAAACATCTGTAACAACGATAATAAAACCATTAACATAGTTAAACATAGTTTGTTGGGTGCCAATACTTTTTCAGTGGCACACGATATCAAGTTGAATCAGTTTTAATTCAATATCAGTTTTTGTGAATTGCAATCAGTTCTTGGTAAACCGATATCCTATAGTGAGATTGGTTGACAGGACTTTTATTACCGGTGTGATTTTATTTAATCGAATAAGTACCTATCCAGATTATATCCGTTGGTTTTGACAAAAAAATTGGCAGTGAATTTAGTTTTTTATACATAATCATCGCGTTTCTCTTCACAAGATTTTCACCTTTGAAATGTAATAGTTGTTGGGACTTCAGAAAAACATAAATTGGTGCAGGGATAAATGTATATTGCTACCTAGACTTAAAGAAACAGGACTCATATTGGTTAATTAAAATGTCATAACAATGTGTATCTTTCTAAGTTTTTGAGCTATATTTATTACGGTTTTAAAATACAGATAATGACGACAATAAACAAAATTATTTTACATTTAGGAGAACCTATGCCAAACTTTTGTTCGAAGTCGTTATTTAAGGAAAATATTACAAAAGTCTCAAAATAATAACAACAATTCCGCTGCACTAAATATAGATTTTAAACGGAGCCACTACATTTCATTACTATAAACGGAGAGACAAGCATACGACAGGCATAATCGAATTCCCAGTGCTGCCGCCTCGGGAATTTTCCAATCGGCAAATAGGAAGAAGAATCCGTTTAATAAAACCTCGAGAGTCGTGTGTCGTCGGCGCATGTGGTACGCCCACGTATACGTAAAGTACGCAACACGTGACATTTCAACTGTACGATTAAGTTAGCGTTAATTCGCATGACTCATGAGATTATCTCAATATCACATCTCGCGTCAGAATAGTCTACTGGTGCGTTGAATCAAAATACGATATTCAAATTTATTTGATTTATGACACACATATACCTAACATTGGATTTATTTTTGAACCGTTAGTTTACTAAACAAAAACCATTTTTATTGTAATAAATTTTAATTAGACTGAAAGTACGAATACTCACTATTCCTACTTGTGATCATCATAATGCAAAATGCATTAAGCAAAATGCTTTTGTTATAAACATTGCCTTTTTAAATACAGATTTGTTCTGTTTGGTACATTTATATACAAAAAAAAAACAAGAGATTACTTCTATATATTTTAAGAAAGCTAGCTACTGACACAATCGAACAATAACGTCACGCTAGCGAGTCTTGAGTCCCTAGGAAACCTCGTCTTTAAGAGCTCACCCAAATTCAATAAACCTTCAGACGGCAGGCTTAAGTGGCGACTACACACGTAACTTAATTTTTGTTCCCTGAAATTGAATAATCAGATAAGCATTACAAGTAAAACACGTTGCCGCTCACATGTTCACTTTAAGTAAGCTGTTTATATATGTACGCCTACAGTTTACTAAATACATACGAACTTAATGGATTTAAACTTTCTTTCATATTACCTTAGTCATATTGATCATCCTCGTCTTTGTTTACGTCTATTATATTAGGTCTTTACCTATGAAATTGCCGTTTTGTATGCCAAGTGAAAGTACTTATTTTTTCAAACTTTTTTATTTCTGTTATTCCAAGTAATCACCCATGCAATCGACGCATCTTTGCCAACGCATTGGCAGTTTATTGATGCCCTTCTTGTAAAAATCAGCTGGACGCTTCGCAAGTGAAAATAGATCATATATTAAAAAATGGTATATGACAGATCAAACTTCAATGAAATAAACCATTTAGATTATACCTACACAAAGAGGGGTTTTATGATTAGTGCAAAAACCCAAAAATCCCAATCTGCAATGTATTGAGAAGACTTGAATTTGTATATCTCATAAAACAACATGTAAAAATGTAAGTCTAGCTACGTAGGTCCTCTGGTACATAAAATAGTCAGGTCTAATTCTTCACTAATTAGTTCTCTTTATAGTGCCTGTATCAATAACATGACAGTCGCACGCAACAATATAAGTTCTACTATTTAAGTAAATACTATCTAGTTCTAAAATCTCCTTAATGTTAGCGCTTTGGGTGCTTTTATATTTTAGGTGGATTATTTTATATTTTATGTATGTATATATTTACTTAAATAGTAGAACTTATATTGCTGCGTGGGACTGTCATCTTTTTGTATTTGTTAAAGAAGTTATATAGGTGTAAAGTATTTATACGGGATAAATACCTTCCTGAAAACACAAATGCCACCTTTGTTGTTTAGCACTGAAATCGTTGAATATAAGTAGGTATTAATTTATGTTACCTTAAGTTCTTAAATATAATTTCCTTAAATAACGTTCAACAACTGAAGGGATATGTGATAGAGGAGGCAATTCCCTAAGCTTGTTAATAAAATTCTTGTTACGATGACAAATATAAGTATATTTCAGAAAAGATACGGGCCCTTCAAACTTCATCTGTTATTCGTTTCAGTTCGTTATGATTTCCGCGTTCGAGTCAAATTGGATGTCTTCGCGAACCTTTGTGTCAATGACCCTGAAAAGGTTTCTTGTAAAAGTGTTACGGGCTTTGCATTGCAAGTAAGGGTAAAGTCTTAAGTATCACCTTATATAATATCCAGATGGTGTGATGTAGGGATTAGAAATAAAATTTTACAGCGTCTGTTTACTTATGATCAAAATAATAATATTTGGAATGGCACTTATTTTTAAGCTTATATGAACAAGAACAGTCAGCAATTAGTGATTAGCCTCAAATGCCTATAAACTTACAAGACCAAAGGTGTCACCTGTTTGAAGGCAGTACTTTCTTCTTCTAATAATCCAAGAGCTGTAAAGTGCAACATTGCGCTAACTATGCACAAAGTGTCTACGATCAGCGAAATCTTTGAATTTGAGCAAAAATCAATCGGTTTTTTAAATAGATTCCATACACTTTAAACTTCTATGACACTTGCACCATTCCTCAAGATTTTTCTTCCATATGCCAATTTAAAGCCATTGGCCATTGATACATAAACAAAATGGCAAAACAAATTAAAAATGTTTTGATGTAACTATGTTTCTTCCCATCGATCTTAGGCGCCCTTGTCCTTGACAATATAATAAATCGCAATGTCAGCGTTACATTTATCACACCCGTGTAACGTATAACCAAGGTCAAAATCTATGCAAATGATCTTATACTTATGATGAGTGTAACTTTTTATTTTTTACTTATTGTTTGGTACAAAAAGAATAAATTCTATGTACTTATTGGTTATATAAATGTGCCACTAAAGTTCGAACCCCACGATGAGTGTGTTCATCAATCATTATTACACATTGGATATGAAATTAAGGAACGCTTCATTGAGTTCATAGGTTACTTAATGTTACATAGTTATAGGTAATACGGCCAGGTCCTGCACAGTTAATGAATTAGCACAACCACATATAATACTTTGATAAAAAAGTCTACTTTAAATTTCATATTTTAGATTAGTATAGCGATTGTCAGTAAAAAATAACGTTAGTGCCATTTTTAATTAGGTAGAAAATGTATTTAAAAACCTTATTATAATAATTAACCGCGTAATCTTATATCTAATATACAGATACATTCACATGACACAGATGGCCTAAAGTGTTGTCAAGAATAAAAAGCGAACAAATAAATCAATAAAAGAATTTCCAGAAAACTTTCAGCTGAACATATGTTACCGATGACGCAATGTTCATTTTAGTGGAACACTACAAGCAATTCGCTAACGATTATCACTGGTAATTAACTACATGGGCACTATAATCGCATAGATTACACCGTGCGAGCGCCGTAAGTCACTCCGGACGCGAGAGTATCCCCTTGGGATTGATCTGATGTATGATAACCATCCAAAGCAAATCAACTATATAGCTGTGTACGAGTAAACCAGGTCTGCTTTAGTGCTGTACTTCAGAGATGAGAGTATATTAATCTATGCATTGTATTTTTAATAAAAGGTTGAGTCCAAGTTTTCACTTGCGTTAAGCGCTAATGCTGGTAAAAGATTTTAGCGTTTTGATTCTGTTTAAGCATGTGAGCGGGTCTACTAACTGTTTAATGTTGATGACCCCAATCTGAAAAACACTACTGAACTGAAAGAACCTAGTGAGCATCTTCATCAATTGAAAGTTACTAAGCAGTATTTGTAACCACTATATCTATAGCTATCTTATCGAAGTTTGTATTGTCTGATGATTTGGAAGCTTATTCATTTGGGTCAAATAAAAAGTTACGAAAGCAGCTTTTGGTGCAGAGCTGATATAACTTATTATTGCTTATATCTACATACACATAAAATCATTAATAACATAATACATGTAAATAAATTTTGGTATACGAGTATTGGACTACTGCCAAGTGTCATAATATAAACATGGCCAGTAAATTTCTCAAAGCAGCTTTGTTCTTCTTAATATTTTATGCAAATATGCGAAACATTCGGAGAATATTGAACGGATGTTAACATTTGATTATTTTATTCACCAGGATTTGTTAAAATTGCCTTTAGTCTATACTAAGCTGCTTATTGGCATCACTTTTAAAGTCTTGATTGCATTGGAATCTAGTAAGTCTAAATAAAAATTATTGGTCAAATTAACACAGATGTGTTAAATAATTTACATAACAAATTAATTAACGAATTTTATACGCAAATGCAAAAAAAATAAAACAAACGAATGATACAATACGTTGTTTATGACACACATTAACAACATTACATATTACGCAGACGCAAAGACACGTGATAGCATAGAAAACTGAAAACTGTATAGCCTCCGTATAGACTCGCAGGCCAAATCTAATTTATGAATGTCTGTTTTTTTAACCGACTTAATTACTGTCGCTTTTCCGTTTTATCGAATGTTCAAATCACAGCGGTGCCAAAGAAGTTTAACTTCAAGGTATATAATCGCTAACAACTCTCCACAAAAGGAATTTTTAACCGACCTCAAAAAGGAGGAGGTTATCAAAT